GACTCAGCACGCCGGATCACAACAGCCCAGGTAGTACAAGATTGACTCAGCACGCCGGATCACAACAGCCCAGGTAGTACAAGATTGACTCAGCACGCCGGATCACAACAGCCCAGGTAGTACAAGATTGACTCAGCACGCCGGATCACAACAGCCCAGGTAGTACAAGATTGACTCAGCACGCCGGATCACAACAGCCCAGGTAGTACAAGATTGACTCAGCACGCCGGATCACAACAGCCCAGGTAGTACAAGATTGACTCAGCACGCCGGATTACAACACCCCAGGTAGTACAAGATTGACCCAGCACGCCGTATCCCAACAGCCCAGATAGTAAATTGCTTAGGATCCGGATCCATTAGATCTGCAATATTTTGGCTTCCTGGATCCTGATCTGCAAACATATGAGGATCCTCGCTCTAATGAGAAAAAAATTCTCAAAACACCAATATGAACTGTTAACTATAGAGATATATATTTTTTTAAACTTCATAATCTCCATTTCCATCTCCATATTAAGTTTTAGCATGAAAATAAGTGAAAAACAAAGTAAAAAGCCGGATCTGGAACCATGTTTTAATGCAGATCCTTGATCCTTGATCCTTGATCGATATACTTCCTGGAATTCAAGGAATCTTTGAAAATATGTTAAATTTTCAGCAAAACGGAATGTTTTTCAGGGAACAGTAGCTGTAATTTAAAGCAACCCAACTTTTGTAGAGTAGCTAATTCAACAGTGGTGGAATTATTCTGGAAATTCACCACAGTCCCTTTAATTCAATGTTTCTTATATGTTTTTAATATAGATAAAAATAAAATCAATTTGTAAGTCTTAAATTAAAAAGTTAGCTAACATTGAAATAATTCATACATTTATTTCAACAGAGGCCGATTTTAATGAATTTGAGCCAAGGCTTTAATCCGCCAAAAACCGGTTTCAATTGAGTTCCGGCTTAAATCTTGAAACATTGAAAACAATTTTAGTGAAACCCATAATATTTTAGCCGCAGGTTAAATTTAAGCCTCGGCTCAAATTCTTTAAATTCGGGCTCTGGTTTTTCTCAATTAAACCACTATTAAGAAGTTTGAATTTTTAAGTCAACTTATATAGGGAAGGGACAATATGAGATAAATTCAGTTTAATATCTCCAGGTTATGACCTGGGATACTACCAAGGATAGGGAAGGGGCAGTATGAGATAAATTCAGGTTAATATCTCCAGGTTTAGATATGTGAGGGATACTGACATGGATAGGGAAGGGGCAATATGAGATGAATTCAGATAACTATCTCCAGGTTAAGACAGAGGGAGATACTGACAAGGTTATGAAAGGGAAAATATGAGATAAATTCAGGTTAATATCTCCAGGTTAAGACAGGGGGAGATACTGAGAAGGATAGGGAAGGGGCAGTTTGAGATAATTTCAGGTTTATATGACCAGGTTTAGGCATGGTATACTGACAAGGATGGGGAAGGGACAATATGAGATAAATTCAGTTTAATTCACCATGTAAAGACGGGGGGAGATAATGACTAGGACAGGGAAGGTACAGTAGGGATGAACGATTTTAACGGGAACCTGAATTTTTGCTATTACTCCTAGGAAACTGGCAGAGTGTTTCTGAAGATGCCAAGTCCCTGGTTCGACAGATGTTAGAGCTTGACCCAGCACGCCGTATCACAACAGCCCAGGTAGTAACAAGATTGACTCAGCACGCCGTATCACAACAGCCCAGGTAGTACAAGATTGACTCAGCACGCCGTATCACAACAGCCCAGGTAGTACAAGATTGACTCAGCACGCCGTATCACAACAGCCCAGGTAGTACAAGATTG